TACTCCAATACGCCCCTTACAGTGACATGACAGGTTTTAATCTGTTGAGTAGGGACCTGCACTTGGAAGGGATCTGCACTAATCCAAGAAGTTTTCCCCCTGGCACCAAGCCCCATACTTAGGGTAAACTGAGTTCAATAGAACAGGGAATCAAACTGTGTAGGGCAACAACTCAAGGGCTGCGGCTCAAGGTGGATCTGTGCTTGCACGGACTCCTCAAACCAACAGTGTCCAGAGTGCTGTGTCACTGGGAAACGTTACGATGTCATCAATGCAATCACCTTATACCCTGGGAATGACTGATAATGTTGTACTTTTTTGTTTACATGGGTTTCTGTTTTCCTGCCTTTTACATGTTTCTTTTCTTTTGTTTGTTTGTTTGTTTGTTTGCTGATTGGTTTGGTGCTATGGGGGTTTGGTTTTGTCATAAGAAGACCACCAAATTAAACCTTAGTTGTGCATATTCCATGGATGGAGATGGACGCAGATGGAGTCTGGGCTACTTAACTCTAGCCTCAATTCAAGAACAATTAGTTCTGATAGCATGGCCCTGCTCGCTACTCACCTTCATGAAATGATCACTAAAGATCAGGGCGCTATAGCAGAGTGGCGAAGAGAGCCGATGGCGCCTGGCTATTAATCGGAATAGTGTCTGGGGTCTTAAAGGCTTGTATTCAAACAAGCAGCCATCTACGTGAGCTGTCAACTAAGTCCACATGACAGAAGCACACCAGCTTTGTGTTCCAAAGATGACAATAACAAAATTTAAATATGATAAAGGGAAAAGTATCAGAGATAAAATTGTGAACACTCAATTTGTGGAAGGCTGTAGAGGAAAAACCTATCTGCACAGTATCTAGTCAGAGCAAGCCATTGGCAGATCCCCTCTAGCCATAGGCAAGGGTCTCAAACACCCTTACAATCAGACAGCGATCACTGTTATCCTGATTATGCAGGATCAAGCTTGATGCTGGGTCAGATGACTTCCCTCTAGACCCAATCTCGATTTTTACAAGGT